ACAAAATAATAATAATATTCTAAGATAATTAATAAATAATAAAAATAATAAACTAATAATAAATTCGTTCTATAACACTGGTTTGGTTTACTTTATATCAAGCCGACCTGCCCTGGTTTATTTAGCTTGTTATAACTATCTTCCTTTCCAATCTTCTTCTCCTAGCCTCCTAGATAGAATAATTCTATTAAAGAACAACAAAAAATTAAAGAAATAAAAAAAAAACTAAAAAAAGAAAGAAGACTAAACTAAACAAAAACAAAACAAAAAAACAAATAAAAAAAAAAAGAAAAAAGAAAAAAAGACAAAAAAAAAAGACAGCCATAATAGCACTATTTTTGCCTATACTAGGCTATATAAATTATATAGTGTTGTATAGAATAAAATTTAATTTAACACTATATATAATAAAAGAAGTAAAAAAGAAAATAAAAGAAAACATCTAATGTTAAAAAATTTTTTACATATAATTTTTTTAACTTTTAATATACTGTCATTGTTTATTTTGGCAAAGTATAATCCAAATAAGCTCATAGGAGATTCTATTTTGGTAAACATGTCCTAATTTGGAAGAAGTAAACACTGCCAATCTTTTAAAAAAAATACGCCAATTTTTCTACTTTTTGGTCTAAATTTTTATTTCAAAATAGCAAAAAAATACTTTTAAAACTTCTAAGAAGTGTATTAAAATCCAAAACTTTTATTATTTCTTTTGTGTTTTTCTTCAAAGTAATAGCTTTTAAGCTTTGTTGACAAAGTAGAAGCCTACTTTAAAACTTTTTTCATTTACCAAAATTTCTTATATAAGAGCACTGCCTGCTAGTTATCTTATATAATAATGCTTTTGGCTTGCATATCAAATATTCTTTTAGAGAAATTCTCTAGACCTTAGGTTAACCTCTAGACAAACTACATTATAAGGCCATATCTCTTCAACAAAAGGTTTGTTTTTTATTAGTTAAAATTTTGGTATGAGTAATCATTAGAAAGAATTGATAATTCTAAACTTTTAGAAACAATAAATTTTTAATTTTAATAAATTAAATTAAAATTAAATAAACCCAAATTATAATCTATATTAGAGATAAAATTATTTAAATTAATTTGCTTTAGATTTAAATTTTATTTTATTTTATATTAAATTTTTTCTGTACATTTCACAGGTTTATAGCTTAATAATTATAAAAGTTTTACTATATATTTACTTTATTTTAAAATTATATTTAAAAATTTTATAAGTTTATTTTTATACATTATTGCACAGATTTACAACTAGTCATATATCTCAATTGAGCCCCACCAAGGGTCTAAACACTTTTGCAGTAACGTGATATGGTACAGAGAAAATGACCAATCAGAATTTGTAAATTTCAATCATTCCGAATAAGTCTGATGTCAAAACAAAACATGTACAAGAAGGAAAAAAGAAAAAAAGTAAAAATACTCAAAAACTGGGATTTAAATCGGCCTTTAAGCACTAACAAAAAGTGTTGGAAATGCAATTTTACATAGTATATGTCACAGATGATGGTGAAATTGGATGATCATGAAATCTGAAGGCCTTAATTTAAAAATATAAACCTTATTAAAACCCACTTATACTCTTTTATTATAAACTCTAACCCTAAATCCTAGTTCAAATTTAAAAAAAAATATAAAAAAATATACTCTAAAAATTTTTAAAAATCGTATATTAAATAGGGTTAGATTTCACAATTATCCAATTTCATGATCATCCATGACAATATATAAAGCTAATAACCCTAACCACAATACCTAACACAAACTCAAACCCAACCCCTAAACTAAAGCAAAAAATATGCCGCACCACGTGATGGTCACGTTATAGCAAAAGTGTCTAGACCCCTGGTGGGGCCATCTCAATCAACTGCTACTATCACTATTTACCCGGTATTACCGCATAATGACACACAGGGGTGAAATTATGAATTTCGGCCCGAATTAAGCTTAATTCTGGCCGAACCTCGAAATAATGCTCATGAGCGATATTACGCGAAAATACGGTACAAAAAAATTTATCCCAAGCCACGATTTACCCTGTCACAACTGTTTATTATTTTTCAAAAAAAGATTAGCATGAAAAATTGCCTAGTACCAATATGGAATTGTTCTAATTGTCTCTACGCAGCATGAGACGAATCATGAGCGATCCATAAGATGCACTATCAGCAATGGTCAGACAATGGATATTGGCTCAGGGGAGGGACCGGCATTTTTGCTTGAAAGCGCCCTAAAATTTAGAACTTCGATTAATTTCGATTAACCAATAAAATTTTTACTATATCACGGGTTGATCTACAAAAATTGGCCAATCAAAATAAAAGCCCGTTATGCCTATATTTGGCAAATTTGGATTCAAATATTTCCTTTGTGCGTGTATATTTTTTAGTAGCACTCTTTGTTATCCAGATAAAAAGTCAATATGAAAAATATTGTAATTATTGATAGTGACAATGAAAATGAAATCATTGACCTAATTAGCGAGAGTGAAGATGAAAGTTCAGCTACCGTCAAGAGTAACCGAAGTGTCACTATAGATAATGATAAGGAAAAAAGCACAGCAGAGGTTCAGAGCATTGTAACTTCAACAGATCTTCTGGCGATCAAAGAAATAGATACCTATGTTATTGGTGCTGAAATTTTGACAGCATCAAGCTCTATGAAAACGAAAGGTGCACCAGACACGACTCACAATTGCGTTTTTATAAATCCTGGTTATGAAGAATGGAAAAATGGAGCGAATTTGAAGAAATACCAAGAATCTAAAAACAATAAAAATATTCATACCTATAATAATTCCAATACTGCGACTAATAAAATGAAGGGCATTTTACTCAATTCATCCAAATGTCAGGCGCCAATGACATCTAGTGAGCCGTCTGCTTCAACATCTCAAAAACGAATTGGTGGAAGAAATGATGATATTTCGAAGAGAATAAAATTAGATGTACCCCAATTTCTATGGCCAGACGTTTATCCACCGAGTGATTTGGCTGAACTTGCTTTAGATGCAAGAAGACTTAAAGAGGTTGAAGAATGGTTTGACAATGCATTTAGCAAAAGTAATTATGGTAAAATGGTAAATAATCGCTTATTTAGTGTAGTTAATTTAATAGCCGACTGTATAGTATAATTGATCTTTTTCCATAGTACCAAATGCAATCTTATAGGCTTTTAGTCTTATCAGGGCCTCCTGGCTCTTCAAAAACTTCGGTTATCAAGCTGATGGCAAAGAAAAGAAATCTACATGTAATTGAGTGGGAGAATCCTCAAACGTTTACTACAGACCATCCTGACGGTATGTTGTTCGTGTGTTTCTGTTTATATAATATTATTAACGTGAGATTTTGATGCGTAGAATTCGTCCCGGTCATGGCACCATTCGAATTATTTTTGTCCTATAATGGTCGTAACCCTCACAAACAGTGTATCTTAAATAAAAATGATTCGCAAATTATTATTGTTGAAGATTTACCATGTCTCACTAACGCAGAGGCAAAAAAACAATTTCATCAAGCTATTCGAGCGCACATAAAGCATCCTAGAACATATTTTCCCCTTGTTATTATTATAAGTGAAGCTCATAGTATTGAAGATTTTGACGAATATGTTGGCAAGGACAGTTTTCAAACTTTAAATTTGTATTCAACTCTTCCAAATGATATCATATCGTCAGACCAATGTACAACTTTAGAGTTTCTACCAATCAACAATACACAAATGGAGAGGGGCCTTGAATTTTTTATTAACAAGGTTTATATCAATGATTGCAACAAAAAAGAAGTTGCCAAGCAATTATACCCGCTTTTAGCTGAACAATGTCACGGTGACATACGCCTGGCCATCAATGCACTTCAATTTTTAATGGTTGAAGCTCCTATCATCCCTATGTTATCAGACAAAGATGAATTCAAAAATTACGGAGGAGCTCGAACAACCTCACATAAGAAATCTGCCAAAGGTCCTCAAGGGACACGAAAACGAAAGGTGACAAATTCCGAAAGACTGATAGAATTAAAAACAATTTTGGATCCAACTTTGTAATACCCCTTTTGATTGAAGCATTTTAAAGTGAATTAAGTTCATCAATGATAAATATTCATCTATTGAAATATTAAACAGACAGACACTACTTGATTCAATCACGTGCAACGAACCTATAACCGTTCCATTTAAAGTAATTGGAAGAGTCCTTTACAATAAGAGTACGCATTTTCATAACAGATTTCCATGATATTTGTTCGTACTTCTGGTGAAATTTGAGTTGCGATGAAATTAAATCTTATTTGAGCATGTATTTTTTTGTGCAATAGGAACAGAGGATTCTAACGATGAGATGCAGAAGAGAATTCAACAAAAAATTAACGCGCTTCAAGGAAAGTTAGTACACCCACGTGAGATTTGTGAGCGGATGGCTTTAATTTATACACCTGAATCGACATTGGATAACATGTGCATAGAATACAACATTTACTTGCGTATGTTGCAACACTATTATCCGCATTTTTATGGCAACATGTTAGAATGTCAATTCGCATCAGAATGTTTAAGTGATGCAGAGCTATTGATGAACAATCAGGATTTTAGAGTAAGGAAAATAAATATTCAATATTTTATTTTAATGTTCAATAATAAAAGATTGTAATATATGTGTAGGTTGGGATAAAGCTGACGCCAACCGCTGCGATTATTGCAACTCGTGGCTTGCTCTTCGCGCATATACAACGTCTTGACAAAAAAAAGCCTTCATTTAATAGTCTACCGTCATTAAAAGATTTCCGTGAATATATATCGGATAAATGTCTTAAAAATGAAAACAAATTCGCTCAATATTTTCAAGGGGATACGATGCGGCGATTAACCTGCAATAATACTTGGAAAATTGAGATTGCCCCGTTTATGGGTAAAATGGTTCATGGTCTTCGAATGGACAATCCACGAAAGCAGTTTCTCAAAGAAATAGTCTCATATAACGTTGATAAAAATCGAGTTTAAAATTGGCTATGTTAATGATCTGTTTAAATTTAAATCAAATAAAGGTTAAAAAACCTGATTCATAACATAAATGCAAGGACAGTGATCAATTCCGCCTTTATTAAACAAATTATTATCGTTATGAAACTTATTAGTTAAACTACCGTTAAAGTAAATGCAGTCGATTTTGACAGGTATCCTTATGTCAAGCAAATTTCGGGCTGAAGATTACTTCCGGCCTAAAAATTTTGGGTCGTAGTATATCAAAAATTTCCTATGACTAAAATTTCGTGCCGAAAACTTTTTTTTAAGGTCGGAAGTTAGTTGACATAGTAAAATTTCGCGTTATTTACAATTTCTTGCATTTTCTTACGTTTTTTGCGTTTGGTTTGTTACACAAGATCCTATAATTTTATTGGATCCGATCTACGAAATTTATGATCGGGACTGATTTTTGATTGGACAAATTCGTATATCACTATGGCGCAGATCCTATTAATAAACTCGAAAGTTTTTTAAAACTTCTAGCGATGATTTCTTAATAACTAGTTGACCACATTCATTAAATTTTTTTTTATTTTAATTATATAGTTTTGTAGAATTAAAATAAAAAAAAGTTCATTGAATTTGGTTCAGCTAAAAATTAAAAAAAAACTTAAAATACCTCTAAAAAAACATCGGGTAAATTCTTCTTTTGAAATTTAAACTATGAAACAATGATTTTTTTAACAACTAACTATTCAAATTTGACAAAAAATACTTTATTTTGATTCTTTTGATTCATAGAATTAAAATAAAAAAATTTTGTTCGAATTTGATTAGTAGGTTGTCGAAAAATATTCATTACAAGTTAAAAAAAAATTGGGGCGCAGCTTCTTTCTTAAACTTTGAACGAAGATTACTTGGCACTTGCCTGGTCAACTTCGATCAAAGTTTTTTTATTTAATTCTATAAGCTTATAGAATTAAAATAAAAAAATTTTGATCGAATTGATCAGGTAAGTGCCGAGTAATCTTCAAAGTTTAGATGTCTTTAAGAAAGAAGCTGCGCCCCAATTTTTTTTTTTACTTTGAACGAAGATTACTCGGCACTTACCTGGTCAACTTCGATCAAAATTTTTTATTTCAATTATATAAGCTTATAGAATTAAATAAAGCCAATTGATCGAATTTGACCAGGTAAGTGCCGAGTAATCTTCGTTCAAAGTTTTGATGTCTTCAAAGAAAAAAACTGCGCCCAAATTTTTTTTTACTTTGAACGAAGATTACTCGGCACTTACCTGGTCAACTTTGATCAAAATTTTTTATTTTAATTCTATAAGCTTATAGAATTAAATAAAACCAAATTGATCGAATTTAACCAGGTAAGTGCCGAGTAATCTTCGTTCAAAGTAAAAAAAAAAAATTGGGGCACAGCTTCTTTCTTAAAGACATCTAAACTTTGCACGAAGATTACTTGGCACTTACTTGATCAAATTGTTTTTATTTAATTCTATAGGCCTATAGAATTAAATAAAAAAATTTTGATCGAAGTTGACCAGGTAAGTGTCGAGTAATCTCCGTCCAAAGTTTAGATGTCTTTAAAAGAAGCTGCGCCCCAATTTTTTTTTAACTTGTAATGAATATTTCTTGACAACCTGCTATTCAAACTCGACAAAATTTTTTTATTTCAAATCTATAAACCCACTGAATCAAAATAAAAATTTTTATCAATTCTATATAGTTGGTTGTCGAAAAATCTTCGTTTAAAGTTCAAAGAAAAAATTTACCTGATTTTTTTGTTTTTTAAACTTTTGGTGATTATTTCTCGATAACCACTGAACCAAATTCAATGAACTTTTTTTTTTAATTCTACAGAAATATGGAATTAAAATAAAAATTTTACTGAATTTGATCAGTAGTTATCGAGAAATCATTGCTAGAAGTTTTAAAAACTTTCGATTATTAAGAAGTTCTGCACCACAAAATTGATTCAAACCCAGAAGTTCACATTTACATCATAAATTAATTCAAATATCATGTGGTTTTCAACTTAAACCCCGATACCAAAGATAGAATTCATACATGCCACTGCAATTTGCAACTGAAACATAATTGTCATAAAATGTCATAAATTGATATTATGTTATTATAAAATTCTCAAAATTGAATGTTTTCTTAAACGACTGCCTTCTTTCTTGTGTTATATTGCAGTAACAACAAAAGAATAATTTTTTAGCATGTTATCTTATTAATAAAAGAAATAAGAAAATCGATACTTGAACCATTTTATTTTCACATATAAACAGAGATAGCACATTATAATATTGGACATTTGGACAATTTGGATATTTGGACAATTTGAATATTTAAACAATTTGGATATTTGAACAATTTGGATATTTGGACAATTTGGATATTTGGACAATTTGGATATCCAATTTGTCCAAATAATTTAATTGGACATTATGATTTATTGGACACAATATATATAGATATATACATCATTCGGGATTTATATAGCATTTGGGAATCATTTAGTAAAAGTATATATTACTTGTCTATAAACCATAAACTTTGTACTATGTTTCTGGCATGCAACTTAACACTAATTGATCTCTTCTCTAACCTTGACTCACGCATTTCTCATTATGATTGATTGGGTGCAGAAGTTTTGGCATATGGAGTATAACTCCAGACCACACTATTCTTGTATTAAATTCAATTAAGGGTAGAGTATATATTTTTTTATTTTATTATAATCACGTTGGTAACTATGATTATCATTATTATATTACCAAAGTACTACTAAGCTATTAATAAAACATTCTGGAACACTAATTATATTTAAAATATTTTTATTCTTGTGCTTTAATTATTTCTTTGGCCCTGTCTGCAATCCCTTCAATAACCAAAGTACATGAGTATTCTGTTTTATATGGTCTTGATAATATAATGTCTTGTAAAACCAACCCTTTTCTAACCAAGTCTTGAAGTGCAAATTTTGTGAGTTCAATAGTGCTTAATAGTTTTGGCTTTTTTGATTTTTTAATATCTTCTTGATCATAAAATTCTTCCAACTGTTGATAGCCAAATTTTTTTATTCTAGTAGTATTAGATCATCTAAAAACACCAACCACATTAGCAGGTATAATTTGGTGATTATAGATCATAGTTAAGACTTCAACTACACATAGTAATTCTACAATATTGAATATTATATTACAGATACTTGGATTATCTTTGATGTAGCATTGACAATTATCATATTTTTTATATTCACTAGGCTTGTTATTCCCATTTCAAATATAGTGCTCTATAAGTGCTTTTATTCAACATTCATACTTAGAAATGTTATAGTCTGTTTTAGGTTAGTCTTGGTCCAAAAGACCAGGTCTGGAGGCAGACTATAAACTGGATTAAGGTTTATGAACTGGTTTACTAAACTAGTCTTAACTAGATTTGGTTCGGGACCAGACTTTAAACTGGTTCACCTTTGGCCAATAAAAATATATAGTTTAGATAATTTTATCAAAAAATCAAAGTCTTATCTTTTTTATAAAATATAAAATTAAGGGTGTGGCAACTTAGTGAAGTGGTAGAGTTGTCACTCCCCAAGCGGCAGGTCTAGAGTTCAAATCCCACAGACGACGATTTTGAAAAATGAATCTGCATTTCAGTTAACGGTTGTCGATTATCGGTTGGATCTTAATCTGTAATCTCGGTTACACCATCTAGTAATGGGAGCTCTGGCGCAATAAATCCGAGGAACTAAAATAACCAAAAACCCGTTTGGCAAGTCCCGAGTTGGGATATAGCAACGATCTTTGATGGTACCACAGAAGGGCTGAATTTGAACCGGGGCTCGAGATTGGAGAACCAAGTGATCAGGTCCCAAATGGTGGAGAACACACCAGCTGAACCGCCGGGTTGTCGCACCGGAAGAAAAGGGCATACACTCCGAAAGTATGAACCAAGGGGAGGGCGCCCTTCAGGCACCTAAAGCCTGGGCAGACCAACTCATCCGGGTTGCCGGCTGAAAGTAAGGGAGAGACCGATAGAGAATCCGGGTAAGGAGACAGTTCCAAATGCGGGTACTGGGATTGTTGAAAACCTTACAAGGGCAGCGAGTACGTAACAGGCGACTAATTAGGAAGGTACAGATTGTGTTACGGCAGCACCCCAAAAGGTGGCATGAGATATGAACACAATGGCGGCAGACAATATGTACTAATTGGGAAGAAATTACTGAA